TGAAAGGTTTCACTTTTTCGATTGGCACTTGCATAACCTCGCAAAAGCCGCGCATAGTAATGGATACCTTATCCCATAAGGACCATCTGTAGCCCATACGTATGAGTAGGTTTTTACCAACAAATGGCTTCGAAAAGGTGTGGCGCGGGAGCTTTTGCGGAGTTATAACCTTGCACGCTATCCTGCCATCGCACGAAAGCGTTCCCACAAATCGGGTGGGCTTGAAGAGAGTTATGGTGCTTGTAAAGCAAGTTTAGTGCCTGTACGCGAAAAATTCGGTAATCTGGATCGTCAAAGGCTGTGATGGATTATGATAAAAAGGGTGACCGCTACTATACCTTGACTCTTCTTGTTGTAGAATGCTTCAATACCATGGGTGCGTTCCTCATCTATCAATGGCTCCTCATCAACTTCTCCACTTTCGGTAGGAGATTCTTTACCTAGTAGCCCAGACATTAATCCAGCTTTGTACTGCGGGACAGGCTTCATCCCAGGTTGTGTAGCTGCCTCCACAGGCGTCGTTCTAGGTGACTCAGTGGTGAATTTGGTCTTCGGCTCAACGTGTCTATCCTTCTGCACCCTGCAATGAACACTTTTCAGGCCCTGCATGAAACAACCATGAATGCAAACCGAATTTTGAAGTTTCTCACCTTTTTGTAGGGATCGGTGTAGCTTCTTCCTCGGCTGTTACAGGAGAAGTAGCTTTTTCCCCTGCTGCTGCAGAAGTGGCCTCCTCCTTTGCTGCTGCAGGAGAAGTGGCCTCCTCCTTTGCTGCTGCAGGAGAAGTGGCCTCCTCCTTTGCTGCTGCAGGAGAAGTGGCCTCCTCCTTTGCTGCTGCAGGAGAAGTGGCCTCCTCCTTTGCTGCTGCAGGAGAAGTGGCCTCCTCCTTTGCTGCTGCAGGAGAAGTGGCCTCCTCCTTTGCTGCTGCAGGAGAAGTGGCCTCCTCCTTTGCTGCTGCAGATGTAGCTTCCTCCTTGGCAGCTGCAGGAGATGTAGCTTCCTTCTCTTCTGTAGCAGCTGATGAAGGTTCAACCTTAGTCACTTCGACAGTTGGGGTGGGTGCTGCCGTTGTAGGTATTTCAGTGCTGTAACTCTAACAATGAGGCGAAGTCGAAGTAATGAAACATTAGACTACGTTTTCGATGACTACAAAAAGCGCTCCTGCAGAACACCTTTTGAAGAGGAGCACGAATACAATTTCTAGCAGCACGAATTTTACTCGACATGAAGGTGGGCAATCATCAGCCGCGTAATATGCCCCTAGTGCTAGCTGAAAAAGCAGAGGCTGGGAGGAGCATCCGCAATGCCCGCCGAAGCTTTGCCAGCTACAAGACCAAGATGACCTGCCTCCGACGTCCGGATGGAACAGTCACTGCATCCCGAAGGGCAATGGAGAAAGTCATCCACGACTTCTACTCGGATCTCTTCGATAGCCATGTCCATCTGCCTACTTATCAACCGCAAGAGGATAGTACAACGTTCCTTCAGTTTCTTCCAGCGTCCAGACAGCCATGAGGAAACATCTGAGGGACAGGCACCGACAAATCATCAAAACGGCTCGACTCTTCACGTGCTACCTTCGGAATGCAAGGAATGAGGATCCAAGTCTCTCGAGCGAGGAGGGTCCACTGGACAACTATACGCATCCGACAAGACGAAGGAAGACGTTCCTGCAGGGTCAACCGTTACGTTGGACCGATATTGGAGCGACGTTGGACCGATGTTCACCGCTCTCCGCGCCGGCATTCACTCTCGCCACCCGCGAGCCGTCTGTGTCTCCGTGCGTACGTTCACTCTCGGCATTACTCTCGTCGTCGCGTTGGACTTTGTCCAACGGACGGTTGACCCTGTGCTCGGCCCCTCGAACACAAGCGATCAACGGGACGACAGTTGATACAGGTGAATATGCTCCTAAAATCTGCTACAGTCGACCTTAACCTGAACACATTGACAAAGGTCAATGAGAGCTTCGGCTTCGCACGCAACGTGCTATGTTAACATCACCTTTATAGAAGGCAGACCTCTTCAAGCCAAGCTGAGCTGAATAGATTGAAGTGGTGCTTCCAATTGCACAACAATTATGGACTGCTACCGCTAAAAGAAACATTTTCGCCAAAAACCAGCACCATAATTGACCATATTTCATGTTGAGTGGCCATGGCGACCTAGTGTCATTCCTGGATACTATTACTTCGCCATAGCCCTATTTACCTAAGCCTCAATTTGTCTCAATACAGCAAAAAGTATAACATACGTTAGTATTCTGGTGGTGCGACGGAACACATGATTCACTAATGTACCAGAGAGTGCTTTGCGAATCCTGGAAAACATGTTTTGACTTGATGGCGACTCCATCGGGTCGAACTCCTGTGACTGATATACCCACCATGACGAATACTGTTGTAGCATCTTGTCCATTTTATAGACATGCTTGAAGTCCTTGTGTTTCGTTAGTGAAGGCACTAAAAAGGTTCAAATGTACAACAGGATATCGCTGAGTTCCGTTTCCAATGAGGCCATTACCATCCGTCTTGATGTCGTCCCATGAGCCAATCTCCACGCGTACACCAGGATCTTTGACCCGCAGATTTGTGCCTATGGAGATAATGTCGAGGAAGGCATTGAAATTGTTATCAACGTTCTCGAAAAAGTTCCGGAACTCATCTTCGACGTTGCACCCTGGAAGAAAAGTCCTTTTCTGATATAGGCATGTATCAACTCTAGCGGTATAGTAAGAAATAAGCAGATGAAGCATACCTGAATAAGCTTTCGAAACTGGGATAACGAAGTGCAACGGGATAACTCCCAACTCCTTCCAATCGTTAGTTGAAATTAAATGCTTCTTGATGCGATCAAAAGTGAAACGCAGACGATGGCATGCATCTTTGTTTGAATGGCCTGAAAACGAACGATGTTTGGATAGTGCTACGGACTGAATGACCATTTGGGTTTTTAAAGATGCAACAGCTCAATCCTTGGTTTTGCTGCTTGGCTTGCACCTCAACAGTTATCAGAAATGACCTCCTTTCCTGCTCTGTCTGCTTACGATTAGACAGGATCTCGATGAGTGAAGAATCGAGTCAGAAACAGGGTCTTGAGCAGGGTCAACCGTGACGTTCGCACTTTCAAAATTTCGCTACAGCCCCTGAGGGCTCGATGCGGCCCCGCCACACCCACCCATGAGACTCAAGCTCCCCCCCATACGACACATCTTTTTTCCACCCAACCACCACCCTCATCCCTTTCCACGCTGACGAAGGGTAAATAACACACTAAAAAGCTTTCCTCTACCCACCTATCCTACTCACCGTCTGGCCCAAATTACATCATCCACAAATCCTCAAAACCTCAATCTAATCGCCTCCATTCAGCCTAAAAACCCAACCACAAATAGACTCCCCTCCGAATAGTGGCACACCACGCATCCAGGGACTGGGGTGGGGACGAAATACCATCAATGCGTAAAGGCAATTTTCCATTCGAATTTCTATCCTACTATATTATATACGCAACTTTGTTTCGGTGGTGTACTGTATGTGTGTGTGTGTGTGTGTGTGTGAGTGTGTGTGCGAGTGTGTATGTATGTGTGTCCGTCCGCAAAATGAAGTGAGTGAGAAGGAAGCTCAAGGGATAAACAAACCGCTAACAAATCGGGTAGCTTACAGGATTTGAGATATCATGTTTTAGCAGATAGTGTGATAACACTCTTAGGGCTATATAAACACCTGCTTAGCACACTTCCGTTCATTCCACATGGTGCTGCATGGCAGCTGGAAGGGAGTGAGAGAAGAGGGAAGCGAAAAATCTACCGTCATATCATGATTGTGTCCCTTCTACTGTATGAAACACCATTGTGTTGCATACGCGTCACTTCCAGGAGGTGTTGGTGTCACAGGAGGAAGGGACCATAGCGGAGGATAGAAAGCTTGCGCAGGAAAGGAAGGTCCCGGCGGTTGACGGGGGACTAATCTGGGACATATAAACTACAACACGCCTTAAAATACTGAATACGATATGAGGCGGAAGCGGTGCGATCGCGCATGGATGCGTTGTTAACGTGGCGTGGCTGCTGGCTCCCAATCACGCTGTGTGATGTCCTGTCCACCGCAAGGACGTCCAAGTTTAATCACAAAAAAAACGCCTCCCTCGCCTCGCCTAGCCATCTTTGTGACCTCCATAGGCAAAGATCCGAACTTAGACCTATTGGTAGTCATCCCTTTGGTAGGTAAATCTCTGTTGCGAACATCTCGGCTATCTTGTAGGGAGAATTGAGCTTTTAACCCTCACATTACCTCCACATCTAGCACTAGCATGCAGCATGCGCAGCCCAAAAACGCCCACAAAATAAAAACAGTGATCATGATGACTTGGGCGTTACGATTTTGATGAAGTCATTGACTGTTATTGGCGGAAAGGCTTCAGAAGGTGGCTCCAAGCGCACCATCCAGGGCGCTGAGGGGTCTAGTCAACCACGACCTCATCAGAGCTGCATAGCCCTCTAGTTATCGTGATCACCGCCTTTGAGGCTAACTTAAAAACATGCGCTATCTGGATCGACGAAAGCAGCTGTACCGTGATTGGACGCATGCCTCATTCACTCCATGCAAAATCATTAGTGTTGTAGTATTTTCATATCCCTTTACAATATTCAAAAAACTTGCCCGTTGATGAATCACCCAGGAGGGTTTCTGGGAACGTCTTACTAGATTTGAAGGTTGTAACAGAACTCTGAATATAGACAAAATTGATTATCTCTGAAATCGGCGAAGTTTGCTTTAGTGAACATGAATTTTGTCATCTGATACCGAATCCGTCGTCATATGCGCTGAAGCCAACCGATACCGTCTCGATATAGGAATTTCACAGGAAATAGCTTTGTAGAGGTATTTTATGCGATCTACCTGAACGAATCTTTTGCTCATATGATATTTAATGTGAATCTGCAATGATTATGTACCTCATCCTGTCCCAACGTGTGATCAATAAAGAATACGAAGTCAACGACAAACTCTGTGTTAGAACCAGGCGGGGGAGTGCATTGAGGATTCAATGCCTGAATTATTTTGTTCGCTGATCAAACTTGCACAGCTGTGAAGGTGAATATAGAAAATTGAATTAAAATAAGGACTCAAGTCAGCTTCATGCTTTTCACAACTTTTCATGGTAGGGAGCATGAATTTCTCTATGCGTCTTTTGACGAAATTAGAAGGGAAAGCACACCCAATGACACCATCCGCGCTCATACGATGGTCAAAGCAACAGTCCCAGCAGGGTTTTTACCTTCAACGCTAATGTTGTGGATTGATGCGCTAGCCCTAATCAAGAACCTAAGAAGTGTAACTAAACAAAATCT